GCATATATATATATGCTTATGTGATATCATAAGACTAGTCACACGTTTAGCGGCAAGCGTACTGATTGTGGCACTTTTCCGTGCAACTGTTAAGATTCTGAAGAATACTGTTGATGAGCGAAGTCCATATGGCACAAAGCCTCTGCAGATAGGACATCATGCATAACTGTTGCAAAAACAAACAATAGCACAAATATATACATATACATATGCATATATCCCTGTCTAGTCTCTGTATATGTGAAAACATGTGTGTATAGTATGAGCAAGTTTCCCCGGCATACAATGGATATGGGTATACGGAGAACTGTTTGGATACATATTTTAATATTTGAAGACATGTACATATAATATGTATATATATATATATATACATCCGCGTGTGTGAAGGTATGAAAATATACTTGTGAGCTTGTTACACGTGTGCTGTGCTAGTGCTATGGATGCGGCAATTTAATCAGGATTGTGCGTTTATCCGAGTAAAAAGTCAACCTGGGTACGAAACGGCTGCAAGGAAGTATCCTTTAATATACATTCATAACCATAAGTATGCACCTAAAAGTACGTCCACGCATATGCAGATCTGTTGTCGCCATAGCCGATTCACTGTTAACTTCTTACTGCGATAGAAAAAGAGTGAAGGTCGCACTCTACTGCATATCGATGTGTGTCTCTGGTGCTGTGTTGGTAGGGTACGCAATAGCGGGACATTACAATTTCATGTGCAATACTCAACGTTGCACGGGTATCTTAATATATATATATATATATATAAATAAATGTATGTATGTATGTGTGTCTGTATGTATATGTACACCATATGTCCTATCTTCGTCTGATGCACATCTGTACACCCACCACAAAGGGCTCTCGCGCCACCGACAAGTCGTTCGGTGGTGCTGTATCGCTCGTGCTGGGCGCAGGGAATGTCAACTCAATCACCGGAGGTGACATCTTGTTCAAACTGTTCAACGAGCAAGAGGTGGTGTTGCTGAAGTGGAACCCTGTCAACGACTACAGTGATGCAAACATGCTGGCTGCGTACAAGCCCTTCTTTGACGCAGGCGTTGTGGAGGCGGTGCGAGAGGATGGCACGCTGGGTATGATACGCGGTGGACCGTAAGTAGACCGTAGGTAGACCGTAGGTAGCTGTGTAGGTATAGTAGGTATATATTAGTTCTAACAAGTGATGGTATAGGTGTGTGTGGAGTAACTGACGCTGGGACCTGTCAATGATTCTGTGACAAGTGCATACGATTTATTGACAGGCTATGTGATCTTTGCCGCAACAAGTTGTGGTGATTGTAAGGTATAAGGATACTGTTGAATTTCAGCTTTCTGAGGTGTTATATGTGTATATACATACATGCACACACAC